AGTCAAATGCCGTTTACCGCACTTGTTGGATCGGTAGGGGTGAATGCATTGGATAGCCCCTTATATAACGCTTCAAATCTTTAATGTCTAAATTAATAGAGAGAAGAGTAGAGGTAAGGTGTTTTAATTCTGAGTTCAGTGACTCGGGCTGAGATAGTTTTACAGCTCTCTAAAGAAGAGAGTTAATAACCGATGATTTTTGGGCCGGATAGTGATGCGACAATGCAATAAGGTATCCGTCTGTGTGCGTAGGTTTTCTGTAAACAGGACCAATGTTGTTACGTCTGATTTTCTATGGAGAAGAATATATAAGAATGGGAGATAATTATTAGTTTATAATTCAATGGTAAAACGTATATTAGATTTATATAGGTTTAAATGGCAAAGAAAATCTAGTTGGGATTCTTGATCATGAGGCCAAATAACAAAAGTATTATCAACGTAACGTTTCCATAATTTTGGGTTTAGGTAGAAGGTGTCAATTGCTCTCTTCTCAACGGCTTCCATAAATATATTCGTGATAACTGGGGATAATGGAAAACCCACAGCTGCTCCCGACGTTTGTTCTAGATATTTTTCAATTGAGATGGGATTCTCGGAGTTTAATATATAAATAGTGTTGAGAGTTTCACGAATAGGGACTACAGTAAAGAGGGATTCCACGCCGAAACCAACTAGAATATCATGTGGGTCTAATGTAATGTTTCTTCATTGTTCAACGAAATGAAAGGAATTAAGTTCGAAACTGTCAGGTTTTTTCCTGTAAAAAGTTTTAATATAGAAGCTAAATATTTCGCAAGAGAAAATGTTAGAGAATGTTGCTGACAATGGATCGAAGGGGTAATCCTGGTTTGTGGTCTTGGGGAGTCAGTAAAGACTAGGAGTTTTAGAGTCATGAGGGGTGACAGATTTTTTCACGGATTCTGACAGAGAAGAAGCCTTAATAACAGATCTAATGGTGCGTCCCATAGAATAATTGACCATAGGATCCGTCTGCAAGGATATCTGGAATCCTTTCCTGATAATCATTTGTGTTCATGACCACCGTTGCATTTCTTTTATCTGCTTTTAGAATTACGATATCGGGATTAGATTTTAGAGCAATGCGTTCAGGCTTTGGAATGTTAGAGTTAGGTGGTTTTGATTTTTTAAGGATTTTCGTGGTTTCAAATTGAATTTAATTAGTTGTTTGAGAAGAATGTTTGTTTCGGATAGCCTTGACATTTGAAATGACTTCTTCGTTTCCTACGGATCCGAGCCATTTCGAACATTTGCGGGATTTTACTGCACGGATTTGGGATCAATCAGATGTTTTCGGAGATATTTCCCACGCTTTGAATTTTGAAGTTTGTCAATTTTGACGGTCATGTCAGTGAATGTATTCGCGTTGTTTTGTGAAAATGTACCCAAAAACTAACGGTCGTAGAAAAAGTATAGTATGCAACACGTTCGGTAAGCTTTTATTAAACTCGTGAGTCAAATGCCGTTTACCGCACTTGTTGGATCGGTAGGGGTGAATGCATTGGATAGCCCCCTCTATCATGTGACTTAACAGCTTTAGATTTTTTTTTTTGGGGATATGTTAAAGATCATGTTTAGATGAATCTCCCTACAACACCAGACGTTATGGAACATACTACCGTTTATGCTGCGAAACGTCCAATAAAAGCTACGGAAAACCCAATATCTGTATCCAAGTAGAAGTGGATATTTTTGGGTCATAATAATAATTGAAAATAAGTTAATTTTTAGTAATAGGTATTTTTTCTGTGAGTTTAAAATTTTGCCGTTATTTTCGCTAAAACTTTTAATAACTGTCTGTTGTTTAGCGACAGCTCTCACAAATTTCTCCAGTTCATTTTTTAATCTTAACAGAGCTCTGTTGGCTAACAGTTTTGTCATGACCAACTAATATTACAGCAGTCTTAGACAGAAAAAAGGGTAAATATTGGAAAAGTTAAAATAAATCGCAGTCAAAAATAATACTTAATGAAAGTTGTAGGTTTTTGTAAGACCTTTCAGAAAAAATAATAACATATATAGTATACCCTTTCAGAAAATAGAGATTTTTCAAGTTTAAATGATTGGAATACATTCGTTTATTTTGAACATTCTGTATCATCTAACTCAAATACGGTTGCATATATCTTTTACGTCATCTTCGAATAACGCTAATATCGCATATAATGGCGCTGTTATTATTAATAAAAAAGTTGAAGAATTTCAAAACGAACTCAAAAAAAAATTTAAGAATATGTATGTTTTGTTTGTCACGTTCTTTTGAGCCACCCCGCACCCTTTAAAATAATTTTAAATGGTGCATCCTAACTACGATAACCTAACTTTACTCTATAACGGATATATAAAATAAATAAAAAAAATTTTCTCTTGAAGCTTTATAAAATATAAAATATTAAAACTTATAATTATACAAATAAAAGGAAACATAATTAAAACCAATCTTACTTCATGAGAAATAACTTGAGCAATTGATCGTAACCCTCCTAATAAAGCATACATAGAATTTGATGATCAACCTGCTAATATAATTCTATGAACTCTCAATCTTGAAACTCTGAAAATAAATAAAATTGATAAATTAAAGCTTAAATTTACTCTGTATATACAAATTGCATTAAATTCGACCGGTGGCCGGTTTGGTCTTAAAGAGGCCCGCCCACGCTGATCGATTACACGCATTATTGTAAACCGTTTATACTTTTTTATATATATTTACTCGAAGAGGTCCGAATATATTTCGCGGATCAATTCTCAAATTCTCATTTATCAGTTATTCTCGTTAATTCAAATAGCGAAATGTTGTTTACGAGTGTCGAGCAACGTGACCCGGTATCAATGCGTATTTTACATCAATCAGTCGAAGCAATAACGTCGCCATTTTGCAGTACTCCCTCTCCCTCCCGTCGCGAAAATGGATACGTTCCCCAACGAATGCAATGTTGTTTACTGGGAAATCAACTTTTTAGGATTCCATCCAGACAAACAGAAACCGTAGACCTTCGCGCATTTATTGCGAAAAATATCACCGTCCTTTGAATTTGAATTTCAATTTATTAAAATTATATAGAGCAAATACCTACATCAGAAACAATAATTTCATAATTAAATATGTTATCATTGTACCTTTCCAAGTACAGCGAATTCCTAATTTGTTGTCATCTGTAGAACCATTATATATGCTCATTTTTAACTTTGGAAATATTGAAATACATACCTACTAACCTATTAAAAATAACACATGTTGGAGGATGTCAACACAGTCGTAATCTATGTCTTAATTTTGTTTTAAATGCTTTAAAAATGCCATAAGAGCTATAAAGAAAACACTACAAAAATCTTAAAACTTTAACTCTTTGTAGGTTTGCGCAGACATATTTATTAGGAGTAAAAAAAACTAATTTTTTATTTACCACGTATGAGCTCTTACTATTAATGGGAAGATTATCCATTTTCATTACTGTATTTCATTTTGGATTTAGTCTCACATATAAATAATCATATCTTATTACCAATACATACATCATTAAGCCAATTTTATTAATAATTTTTATACGAACAAAAATGATCTCTTATACTTTTTCGTTAAATAATTTAATTTAAATAAATTGAAATTCAAATTCAATGGACGGTGATATCTTTCGCATTTCAAAGATATTGGACGTCAAAAATTGAAGAATTTAAAGAAAAATAATTTTTTGTTCTGAATCTTGTTATTTACTGAAAAATAATTATCGTGAAATGTTTTCAATTATTCTTATAGGAAATTTAAGACTCTACAAGGTCTATTGTGGTTTATCAATTACTAGAACCATTTTCAAGATATTTGCATTGGAATTCCAATGGGTACTTATATTCATAGTTTTCAATAAATATTTTCAATTTATTCATTGAATGAGTAAATTTTGAGATTATTTATTTATTTAAAAAAAAAGTTCTTTATTAAAAAAATATCAATAAATGCATTAATAGAAAAATAATTCTGTTTTACCATATTATATGTTTTATGCCTTAATACGGAATTAATAGAAAAATATACATTTTTTAGATTCAGTTATACAAATCTACTTTTATTACCGTCCGGAAATAGTCCTCGATGTTCTTTGACAATTTGCAGCAAGTATTGAAACTGTTTTTCGTTTTTCGTCAAAGCTATTCGGAGAGCAAGGCTACTCCACGCTCTGCTGCGTCATTTACAACATTCATTTGTTTGGAATATTCTTGATTTTCCTCCTAACTCTCATCTGACGTCCACAATGCGATGTCAACATCAAGAAAATCTTATGTTGGGTCAAAGATTTTGGCCAAATGCAATGATTTGCGACGAACGAAGTCACTTAAATCCTTTTAGACTTTTTACAGCTTCGACTTACCTTCTTTTTTACATCAAGTACAACAGTATTATCAAACAGCGATAAATTAAATATTCTCTAACGATCTATTGGTGATAAGATATGATTATTTATATATGAGACTAGATCGAAAATGCAAAAACTATAATAGGTAACTAGTAACTAATTTTTGCATCAGACCACCCGCCCTAATAAGAAAAAGGTGTTATTTTAATCTGCACATATATCCCTAAAATCTAAAAAGTATGGTGATATGAAGCGACAATATCGCACCGCCGAAAATTTGGTGTGCTTTATTTCTATAAATGTTTAACTTGCTGTGGACCGTGAATTACTTTGTATATGATTACTGTTTAATCTGATTACATAACCACTTGGAATTTGTTTAGAATTCGGTCTTAGTTTCAGATTTACCCTAAAGTTCGAAGAATTGAGAAGGAACTTGATTAAGAGAGTGTAGTTCTCAAAGCAACTGAAAATATTTAGAGCTGCGGAGTTTGAAAAATTTGTTGTTATTTTCTGACACAGTTTAAAAGGATGACATTGACCTGTAATCTTTTGATAACGCTGAACGCTGTTAGTTAAACTTGTTAAAACTATAATCACCAATTGGCGTACACCGTTTCTTACCTTGTAGTTTGGCAACTCCTTTAAAAGTAACTGGATCAATCACTGTCGCTTCGCTTCTGCCCTTTTTGTTCACAGCGTACAACATAATCCTGTAACTCGCTCCCGGATCCAAACCATCTGCAGTAAAGACAGGTGCCTGGAAGTTTTTTGCAAATTACTTTTTTATGTTGTCGAGCATCGATCTTTTTCGCTACTAGGAAAAAGAAACGGAAACGAAATCGTAATCCGTTTTTGCGAATCTAGTCACTTCGAATTTGAAATAAATTTTCGCTTTCGCAGCTATACAAAATGCGAATGCACGTTGTGGTAATCCCGTATTATAATTTTCTATTTGCAACAAGCAATTCACACATTGGCGTTAATTTTTGTTCGGGGCCAATAAAATATTGAGACTGTTTTCAGTGCTGGTTGTTTTCCAGCTACACTTCTAGAGACTGAAATATATAAGGTCTCTGTTTTCAAAAGTGTTATCACTATTACTATTTCCGATACGGAAAGCGACAAGGTTTGTTTAATTAAAGACGACTTGCATTTGTCATTCTCATTTAACACTCGCTTATATTGTTACCATATTAAATTTAATATATTCACGTTTCATAAACTAAAAGTAGTTTATGAAATATAGGGTGATTTGGGAAAACAGCCAAACTCGATGTGGTCTACTATTTCATATCATGTGAATTTCCGCGACAGACTGCAAAGGAGTGGGAAAATGGCATAAAACTTTTAAACTTTTCTCGAAATTAGTCGAAATCGAAGAAAAATGACTCCATTTACTTTTTTATATTAAGAATTTGGAAACTGCATGGGCAATTACGTCTTGGCAATAATGTGAGTTTAATCATCACCAGGGACGAAGACGCGCACGAAATCCTCTTCAGCAAAGGAAGGGCGTTCTACTCTAGAATAAACTAAAGGATATCGATTGGATAACTCCGTGACGAATAATTTCGAGAGCAGCATCATAATCAGATGAAAATAAAAGTAGAAAATCTTCGGACCCTTCTTGTCATGATAGTTTTAAGCTTGTACCACTGCACGAAGTTTCCTGGTTGGGTTGGAGAAGCACAATCGGGGAATTCTCTGCGCAAGGAAACGACGACTGGCTATCACCTACGAGGTGAGTCTGTTAACCAGTGTAAAACTACTTGTGAGTCTGACCATGCCCGGATTTCATGAAAAATTACGATTTCGCCGTACGTAGACTTGGATTTTTATCCGATGTCGCCTTTGATTTTGGAATAACAAGGTAATTGAGTGTCTCGCCAAAGTTACATTCAATGCTAAGGTACTCGTCAACGTAAGACGGTTGGGTAACTGAAGGTTTTAAAGTTGGGAACTTTATGCTCGAAGTAGGGCTTCATAATTATTCAAAATGTGCTGCAGAATCTAGGATATTAGCTGCAAGAGCAGAAAGTGGAAAGTTCGATTTTTGGAGGTTGTTGTAGTGAGTGAGTGACTAAGACGTTGAGCGCCTGAATTTTTACTAGCATTATGAGTCTTAGGAGTTGGGCACATTAGTGAATGATATAAAACGCATTCCCGAGAATTATAGGAAGATTGGCTGTTATTATAGAAATGAACGAAGATACATGGCAACTAACTTCGCACACGTGCATGCGAATAATAAAGTAAAGCTTTGAAAAACATTCGGCAGAGGTTTTATGCACTTTTTTACTGTTACACAAAATTTTAAAATGTCAAATGCTTATATATGCAAAACATGAGTAATTTTAACGCACCCACTGGTTGGTACGCACAATTAAAGTTTAAGAAATAAATATTTATTAAGCTTTCCAAAACATAAAAGCAAATTTAAACGAAAATCTTGTCATACTAGTGCAAATACACATTTACTTTTAATAAAATTCAATCAATTAAAACATGTAAAGAATAGATTCGTGTTAATTGATAATCCGCGCCCTAATCCCTTTCTTTTTATAAATGTTTAAAACTAAAAAAAATTTCGCAATTAATTTTGCCTTTGCTAAATATTGTCATTTTATTTATTGGTTATATTTTTAATACCTTTTACACCGCTTCAAATAGCGCACCTTTCAAAATGTATTGTTTATATTTATCAATCTCTGAAAACGAGCCTGACCTGGTTAATAAACGTTATTTATTATTATTACAACTAGGTTATTTTTCTTTACAAAATTTAAATTTTTTGTCGCCACTAGGCAGTTAAAAAATATATAAATTTTTGAACAAATTCCCTACCATGTCCGGAACTCCTTAGAAATTTCATTGAAACATTTCATCAGTTTTTTTTGGCTTTGCTTCTATTACTGTTTTCATCCTTTGTCCCCTGGCGCAAAGGAAAATATAAATAATGTTTATCAACCTAGAAGTGGGCGTAATCAAAATAAAAGTTTGGGCGGAACGTGAGTTTTAACCAAAGCACTTAAATCGATGGTAAAAGATATCGTGACTAAACTCATTAGATCGACGAAACGGCCTGATATCGGTAGATTTAGAAGTACATATTGAAGAAACTGATACGAGTTAATTCGAAGTAAAATTTATGACATGACAAACAAATGATTCATACAATGGATTCACTAATTTCATCGATTCAATATTCCCGTCGATTAAAATCAAGGGCGGCGCGACGGATACATCGGATATCGAAATCAAAACTGTTTATTTACAGGCGTAAATGAGATATTTATTTTTGTTAATCAATAAAATTTCAATTTCAAATTTAAATAATGCAGAATAATTCGTTAAAAATTCTAAAGATTTGGTACTCTTTGATTATTTGTCTCATAAAAAAAATTATTGATGTTTTTAGTCGTACAGTTACACTCACCCTTGATGTCAGGTTCAATTTGGATCTTAAACTGGGAAGTTCCAAAACTTCCATGTAAAAGGTTTGCGTAAGTCCACCATCGTATCCTTCAGTACAATCCACTTGGAGTGAATTCGTTGTTTGGTTTAATAAGGAACAGTTTTGCAGTTGAGATGGTCGACCTGAAAAAAAAAACTTGAAACTACTAATTTTCTTACTTTTTTAAATTGCCCAAATAATTTATGTTGCAAATTCAAGAGCAATAATTTTGCTACCGTGTGACAGAAGAACTTGCGTCCTAAGAATAAACGAAAATTATTTTTTTTAGCTTTAAGGGCTATATAAAAAATCGGCACGTTTTGCAATCTTAAAAGAATGTTAAAGAATGAAGGCACATGCTTCATTTTTAAAATTACTATAAAACCACCTGATCTGATTCGGGGAAAAGGGAAAGAAAGTCAAACGAAATAGTGTTATTAAAAAGTTGCGAGTAAAATAGATCTAAAACACTGGGTGGCATATCTGAATACGACGTGGGTTCAAAAAGTAAGGTGACTTTTGTAATTGGGCGGGCTCCGATCTTCGTTTTTTTTTTGTTATATTAGTACACATGTCCCTAACATATGATCACAGTTTCAGCCCGTTTGCACGTTAATTTTTTTGTAAGACTGAAGCGTTAGACGTATTTTGTTTGCTAGGCGATTTTTTGCTGTAAAAAAAAACAAAAAAATTGCATACAATTTTTGTGAAAAAATGAAATTCAGTGCTGCCAAGTATTTGAAATGTTGCCAACGGCATATGAGCAAAAAAAAAAAGTTTATAAGTGGTACAAGCTGTTCCAAGATGACCGAGAAGATGCCGATGTCTATTAGAGAAATGGCTGAAGACGTGAGATCTCTATTGGTTCGAGCCATGCAATTTTTTCCGAAGTTTTGGACATGAAACGTGTAGCAGAAAAATTTTCTCCGAAATTGCTTAATTTTGAACAAAAGGACCGTCGAAGGAGTATCGCTCAAGAGCTGTTAAACGACGTAAAAGTTCATAACTAGTGACGAATAATGGGTATTTTTTGATTATCGTAGTACATCAAGAGCTCTTAAGGTCATACGGTCAATAAAAAGTTGGAATTTATGCGCCGCTTGCGAGAAGCAATACGAGGGAAACATCCGGAATTGTGGGAAAACAATTCATGGATTTTGTATCACGATAACGCACCTGCCCGACTGCACCTGGCCAAAAACAAAACTATAATCATGCCTGCGACTTTCTCCTGTTCCCAAAACTCAAGAAACCCATGAAAGGAAGGAGGTTTGGAACGGTTGAGGAGATAAAGAAAAAATCGCTGGAAGATCTCGAGGCTATACCAAAAAGTGTTTACTAGAAGTGCTTCGAGGATTGGAAAAAACGTTGGCACAAGTGTGTGTGTGTGGGGGGGGGGGGAGATTACTTTGAAGGGGACAACATTAATTTTGACGAATAAATAAATACTCTTCTTCTTCTTCTTCAGCCTCTAGACATCCACTCCTGGACATAGGCCTCTTCCAGTGATTTCCATGCCAACCTTTGCTGTGCGGTTTGCATCCAATTTTTCCCAGCATGTCGTTGAATGTCATTTATCCATCTCGCTTGAGGACGCCCCACACTTCTTTTCGTTCTCCTTGGACGCCACTGCATTAGTGTTTAGGTCCATTTCAAATTGTTTCTAGCAACGTGTCCCGCCCAACGCCACCTGAGACTCACTATCCGCTCTACAATGTCACAGACCCTTGTTTTCCTTCTTATCTCTCTATTGCTCTTTGACAGACTCGGAGTTGATTTGCACTGCCCACTGTAAGTGTCATAGTCTCGAGTCCGTATGTTGTTACTGGGAGGATACACATATTGTAGACCTTCTTTTTGAAATTCACTGGTATAGTTGGGTTGCGGAAGATATAGTTTCTCGAATGCTATCCAGGTGCTTCGGGTGATCTCTGCTGTCTGATTTCCTTTCCCAAGCTGGATGTTGTGTCCTAGATATATATACCCCTTGACATTTTCTAGCTCGTGATTTTCAATGGAGACCTTTATATTGTCAGGGCTCAGAAGTTTAGTTTTTTGGAGGTTAATTTTGAGGCCTACAGCTTGGGGAAGCATCTTTCAGTTCTTGAATCATTGTTGTCAACTCGTTTGTGTTGCTGCTGAAGAGACCGATGTCGTCCGCAAATCGTAAGTGGTTGAGGCGTTTTCCGTCCATATCGATACCTTTCTCTTCCCACGATAAACGTTTGAATATATCTTCCATAGCTAGGGTAAATAACTTAGGTGAGATTGTGTCACCTTGCCTAACGCCTCTTCTCACTGGAATCTTTCCGGTGATCCAGTCTTCATTGATTCTTACATGTAGGGTGGCAGTCTCGTAGATGTATTGAAGTAAGCGAGTATATCTCCCGTCTACGCGGGCATTGTTCATTGCATTCATCACTGCCCAGATTTCAATTGAATCAAACGCCTTCTGGTAGTCTATAAAGGCCATGTGGAGTGGGACATTATATTCCGTACATTTCTCTATCAGCGTGCATACTGTCTGGATATGGTCGATGGTGTTGTAACCTTTTCTGAAACCGGCTTGCTCTACTGGTTGGTAGAAATCAAATTTTTGGCTCAGGCGGTTTGTGATGATTTTGGATAACAACTTATAAAAAAACAGATAGCAGACTAATTGGCTTGTAATTTTCTATGTCGCCTTTTTAAAAAAGAAGAACGACTTCTGCATTTTTCCAGGTTTCTGGAATCCTACCTTCCTCGAAGCATTTATTCAGTAGGATGTTGAGTGCTTTTTTGAGTGTCTCTCCGCCCATTTTAAGCATCTCGCTTGTGATTTGATCCTCTCCTGGTGCCTTACAGTTTTTGAGTTGTTTCGGAGCTGCTTCCATTTCGCCATTATCGACAGGTTCCAGTTCTTCTGATCCTACGTCATATCGATCTTGGTTTGGGTTTGCTATTGATTGGTTGTATAGGTTCCGATGGAAGTCCTCGACTGTTCTGATAATTTCATCCATTTCAGTAACAACTTCTCCTCGGCTATTTCTCATTTTCTGGATGGTTAGTTTGCCTTTCGATTGTCCAGAACGAAGAACTCTCATGTTCCCGTTGTTTTTGATAGTCTCTTCGATCAGTTTTGTATTCTGCATCCTTTGGTCTCTTCTGATTGCCTTCTTAACTCTTTTGTTGAGTTCTTTGTAGTTCTGGGAGCCTCTGTTCGTGCTTCTGCATTCTTCTATAAGTTGTTCTGTTTCTAGGCTGAATTTCGAATTTTTGTGTTTTTTTAGTCCAATAAATTTCTTTACTGCTGTTCGAATACTGCTGGTAATTTTTGTCGAGAGTTCGTTTAGTTCCAGTTGCCTTAACTCTTCTGTTGGTAGTTTCGCATTTATGCATTGGTTGAACTGCTTCTCTTTCTGACTTAGCTCGCTTATGGCGGGTCGAATATTTCTTTCCATTTTGCGTTTCCTTTCTAATCTAGTGTTAATATGAAGCTTTGCTCTAACTAGCCTATGGTCGCTACCGGTGTTAAACCGGTTGATAACTGAGACGTCTGAGCACATTCGGTTGTTCGAAACAAGGATGTAGTCTATTTCATTTTTGATCTTGTCATCAGGGGCTTATCCAAGTCCACTTCCTATTCGGATTTTTCTTGTAAAATGTGTTCATGCAATATAAACGTTCTTTGTTAAGAAAATTCAGCAATGTTTGTCCTCTCTGATTTCGTGTTCCAGGACCGAAATTTCCGATAGAGGGTGGGTCTGCTGGGGATTTGCCTCATATCTTGGCATTAAAATCGCCAAGTATAATAGATAAGGTGGAGTTTTCCGAGTTTTTGGCGGTAGATAAATCTTCATAGAATTGTTCTAATTCCTCATCGGTCGATCGCACAGATAATTTGAAGACTGATAATTGCGTTCAACTTGAGGGTCGCGTATATCACTCTGTCTGATATAGATTTAGTCTTGTTGACTAGATGTTTCTTTCTTTTTTTGAATTAGCAGAGCTACGCCGCCGATATGTGAATTTGTTTTTGGATTTTGAGAATAAGAAGGTGTAATGAGGTAAAAAAATATTACTGACCGATGAAAACTCAAGAAAGCAAGGACGTAACCCAAATTCTGCAAAATTCAATATCTGGCGGACTTATAACCCACATCAAACTCAATATAACTAATCCCTTAAAATAGAAATAAAATTAATAAAATGAAGTAGGCGCTATGAATTGTACAATAATTTATATTTTAATAGTTCCCTTAGAACAAAAATATATTTTGCTATACGTATATGAATGCAATAATGGACCAAACTTAGAAATCAAAGTCGGCCTATCATTCATCTTCATTTTTCGTTTAATTGGTATATTGTTCACATTTCCATTAGGCAATTCAAATTTTCGAGTAAAAATTGTATGACATTGCAACGTTTTATTATTGCCACAATTATTGTTAATTTAAACTATAATGCAATATTCTTTAAATTTTAATTTTAATGAGGTTTTGGGTTTTGTAAAACCCGATAGTAATCAATTAGGCAAGATTACATTCTTATGCCCTTATGCCAGGATTTTTTGCTAAATATTTTTTGAAAATACTTCTCTTGACTTGATTTTCTTGAACCACTTATCAATTGATTGCGTCATAATTTTGAACGAAGCAAATTAAAAAAAATGCTTTATTGACTATGGGTTTAGATTCTCTTTCTTTTATGATAAAGGACCGAATCCGACTAATTTTAGAATCACATTTGATTGGATATATTGTTTATGTCGGCTTCGTTTTAATTGAAGACTGCTGTCCTATTTACACTCAAGAAAAGAGTTATTTCGGTTTTTTTTTGCAAATGCGAATTTGATAAAACTTTGGCTTCTTCAAGTTTCTTTTACGAAAATGATGCGCCTAGTCACATCTCGAACGACCTTTATTTTAAAATACGAACGACCAAGGTAAATTTAAATTAAGTTAATAAATACCTTTTTTTTTCAGAGTGTCTCCAAAATAAACAACAATATATTAACCACTTATTTTACGTCCTAGAGTAGAAATAAAAAAGCTAATATATTTAATAACCAAGCTCTTATTTTTAAAAATACATCGTTTTAAAGGTCTTTTGTAAATATTTTGTGAGTCTGTAGAGCTGTTCAGATGAAATTTATGTTTTT